AGTCAGTACCTTTATTCTACACTCCAAAAATAGCGGCTGCCTCTAAATTCATTATCGTCCTTCCTTCATCAACTGCGACGCTGCAATTACTGCGCCGACGCATCTTGGCCACGTCTACACGAAACAGCTCATAGCCAGCAACAGCGACTGGATTTGATCACGGCCGTGGGCAAAGCATACGCCAGAGGCACAACTCCAAGCACACCTCAGCCATTCATTCCGCAATTGCAAGAAGGGCCCCTGTCAGGTCGAAATCCATCACCTGCAACACGGAGGGAGGGGACGAAAAAGCGACTACCTACTGTCTCCCTCACCGCACACACATGCCCTTGCTCCTACATGATATCCACCTCCACACAGGCCTCACATATCCACCAAGTTACCCGCTTTCTCTGGTCTGATCCTACGCCCGTCTAGCGACCTGCAGTTAAAGAGAGAGCCTTGGAAGCCCAAACGCCCGCCAGCACAGAATTCAAATCGACTGAGGTTGGCCAAGAATACGAACGCACGTACGTCCCATCCTAGACGAAGGACGAAGACGAGGACGCCGGCACCCGCACAAGAGCCTCAAACACATCGAGTCAAGCTTCAATTACCCTTTCCACATTTGCTTATAAGCAGTATCTGCGGCAAGCACCATATACGACAAGGGGCGCGGCACATGGCATGAACAATCATTGTCACAGGCACCAAAATTTTATCAGGAATCATCGAGAAGGAATCAACCATGGCGAGCTTGGGTCGTTCGTTCAAACCACCAGCGTACCTGCGGGCGCGATCCCGACCTGCAATGACTGGAAGAACCTTGTCCAACTCTTCAGATATTTCGGTCGTCTCGACAGGATCTCGCTCCGACGCCGACGACTTGCTCATGTCCGGGCTCAATACACCAGCATACGAAATGCCAAAGTCAGGACAGGATGGGCTCAAGATGTCAACGGCCCCCGATTTGTGCTCTCCCAAAGGTATGTTTCAGCTCTTTGTTATAGGTCAGGCCGTTGTTCTATGCTCTTTACATGTTTACCGGTTTTCCACTTTTGATTTATCTCCAACTTCAGCTTTGGACCCTTTCCCCGCCTATTCCATGCGTTTTCAGTTCACGATTGCAGGCTTACCCCCAGGTGCCTACTGTTTTTCTACCCTTTGGTTGTCGCACTTGGGGCTGTGGGTTGTTCTGTTCCTGTGTCGTTAATTTCGGTTGAGCCATCGGTATCTGTTTTCTGTCATGCACTCCGGTACCTGCACCTGGCCGTCAATGCCCCCCGTGGACCGCAACGTCGGCGCCGACAAGGACGGACGTTGGCGCTCATTGCCCAATGCTTCAGTGAGCCTGTTGACTCCTGAGGTCCCCAGACTTGTGACAGCGAGTCAGAGAGGCTAGTCGGGCTAGGGTCAAATGACGACGGTGCAGTGCACCGTAGCACCGTGGCTCGCAGTCGGTCTTGGAGACTAGTTTGTCTTGGATTTCTTCACGTTCTGCTATCCTTGGAGTTACAATAACTGCCGGGATGAGAGCAAACCCCTCTGTTCATCAAAGCAGAGAGACAGGACCGGGAGTAAAGGGTACAGTATGGGCCAGTCAACATGAGAGACGAAGAAGAGGAGAGAGAAAAATGGCCTCCCCGATGAGCCGGCAGGCGGGATGGACTCCGATGAGCAGTGAGTGGCCAATGCCCCTCATCAGTTACCTCAATTCAAGGTAACACCGACTCATCGACCTGCCGAAGACCACCATTAGATAAAGGTACTTTTCTGATGGTTGCGCGTGCGAGTGCTTGCGTGTTGTGAGGATGAGTTCATGGTAGTGCTTATTTTGGGTTCGTTCGCTCGCTCCAGCATGACCAGAAACCGATCACCACCTCACCCCAAAGCCTTGAGAACTATGGCATTGTGTGCAAAAGGGCCCAAGGCCTTCCATGCCTGACGTTTCCATAGCTTTGGGCTGTGCCGCTGGAATCAGGTGGTGTCTTTTGGAGCATTAGGGAGTGGGGATGGCGCGCCACCGCGTTGTCTTCTAGACGCACCAAACGCTCCGTCGGTGTCAGCATGAGGTTCCTTCACTGCGTTCGGTCTGGTCCGCGCCCCTCGGAGAGTGAGGAGCGGAACTGACGCGGTGAAGTAATGGGAATGCGATGCTTCCATCCAGGCTGAGGTGGTGGGGAGGGGCCGGAGGGGCTGGGAGCCAGGGACGCTGGGTGGCTGTTTAGGGACTGGTCTGCTAAGCGGCGGCCTTGGTTCACTCGGCCGGGACGGACCCTGCCCGCCAGATGGCAGAACATCGTCATCATTCACTCTCATTTCTGCTATCGACGGGGTCACCCCCGGCCCTAAGCCCTTTTTCTCACCTCTCCCAGAAAGTTCGTTCCCGTCTCGCATGGCCACCAGGGACCCTTACCGTTGCGTCATGCCCATAGTGTGTTTTTCGTTCTCTTACGCAGTTTTTTTTTTTTTTTTTTTTTTTTTTTTAATTCTGGCCCAAGACGCTTGATCGGAATTTCACACATCCATGTTCCTTGCTTAGGTTCTCAAGAGGATACCTTCGAGACTAATCTGCCTTTTGGCTCTTCTTAATAGGCGAATCATCCGCACCATGCCTTCTCGACCTATCTTCTCTTCAATCTGCACGATACAACCGAACTCGCTCAATTCCTCTTGACCTGTCTCCTACGACTAGTACTCTTCGAAAGATAAACTCGGCTCCTGCCTGCACGCCCACACCTCCCGATCCTTTGTCAGCCCGTGGCGACCTCCCTGGGTGAGTCCTAGTTTCCCTTCCCGCCGCCACTTCAACGTCCGTCCCGAATAAGTCAAACACAACTCTCTACTCCTCCACCCAATTATTTCTCAAAAATGACTTTGGTTTGGTGGTGAAACATTCCGTGTCATGTGCTAACACTGAACTCACAGTGGTTACTTTTCGTTCCACGACGATCCCAAGGGTTCTTCTACCTCTCGCCCTCACTCTCAATCAACCAGAACCGAAGGTCGACTGCCTAGACACAAGGCCGCTTCTCTCACGGTCGATTCCTCCTTTCAAGCCGACTTCCGTGGCGCTTCTCGACCTGCAGCCATGGCGCCATCAATCCATCTCTCTCCTATGAGCGCTGCCGACCACTCAGGTTCATCGAGCGTTAACACACCCGTTACCTCGTACCTCCCCAGCGGCGTTCACGATACATCCTTGCCAATGGGCAAGTACTACCCATCGAACTACGAGCGAAACAGCACTCAGGACGGCCGCATAGGGCCTTCTGGACCCCCGAGTCGTGTCTCGTCAACAAGATCAGAAGGCCACGTCCCCACGCGCGAGGCCTTCAGGTCATCCTCACGACAAGACTCCGAGGTCCGCCGCAAACTACAACAATATCAACGAGACATGATCGCCCAGGCGAGACTGGCGGCGAGCGAAGTGCTTGGAAGTTCACCCAGTCAAGTCACCGCGGCGGTTCCCAGCTCCACTATTACCTTGAATGGGGTACCCTTGACGAGCCTACACCATATCGGAAGCACCGGCGTCCACAAACCCATCTCACCAAGGCTTTTGCCACTGGGAAGCCCGGGACCCGTGACGCCGATGGATCTGGAAGGAGGATTAGGACAGAGTGGATACCTCGATCGGGGTCGCAATGATGAGATTGCTCGCGTGTTGCGGGCCGAGGAAGACCGCATCCGTCGGGAGGGAGCAACTTCGCCGGCGGTGGAAGCGGGTCCGCAAGTTTTCTAAGGTGGCAAAAAAATGATGCCAGTGCTTGTCGTCGTTGGAGAGACGGTGGCGTGGTTCATCTGGGGCCACATCATCTCAGTATGATAACGACAGAGGGGAAAGGGGAGAAAGACACGCTAAACAAGAAAAAGACAAATGGAATGGAGTCGGCAAGGTCAAGACGATCGTTCATGGTTATGATACCCTCTAGTTATTACAGCAAAGCTTGATATATTTTTTTTTATTTTTTTTAAGGATTGGGGGGGAAAGGTACAGTTTGGTCTTGCCGGCAGATGACGTATCTGAAGCCGAGTCAACCATCTGTAATGCATGCATGGACTGCGGCGTTATCTCTACACTCGTTACGGGGTTAGATTCGTGCGGGCTATCTTCGCATCGGTGTTATTTTCTCGGCTCCTCCTCTGCTTTCCCCTTCGCTTAAGACTACCTTAAACAAAGAGGACGGCGGATAGATTAGATGAGGAGAAAGGGCAAAATCAACAAGATATAACTTCCACCTTCGTTTCGCTTTTGGGAAGATATTCCATGAAAAGTTTCGCCAATATTTCCGAACAATTATATTTACCCAGAATATATGGAGAGCGCGAGTTCATCCTCTAGCGTCAAGCAGCTTTACAGTAATTGGCAGGGAAACTGCCGCGTACGCCGCCTAATTCACCTACCCACCAATCCTGATCCGTATCTGTCTTTTTTACGATTTTAATCATGTCTCCCTCGTTGAAGCTCAAATCCCCGTCACCCCCTGCGAAGTCATACTGGGCGACGACAAATTCTTCCGGCGCTTTGAATCGCTTGGCTGGCGGCGGCGGTGGTGGTTTCTTCTTCCCTGCCAGACTCCCCTGCCCCGGGATGAGCCCCGATTGGTGACCAAAATATTCGGATTGGGAACGTGAGTAGGACGGCGACACATTGGGGGAACCCTGAGTCTGCCCAAGAGACGTGGCGGTAGTGAAGTCAGTTGGCAATCCGAGCTGAGACCGCGAGACATTCGTGCTACTTGACTGCGGGCTAGGTTGAGGGGAGGGCTCCCGAGCCATGGATGGACGGCTTCCTCCGTTGTTCGAGGGAATTCGCATGGTCCGGGGGGTCGGTGTTGCGCTCTCGTTCATGCCAGAAGGCGTCCGACCGAAGCCATTCCGTGACGACGTTGATGACTTTCGGCCCTGGCCGTCGTCCCCGACCCTTACTGGTTGCCTCCAGTTCTTGCCGTGTGCTATGCAACTGATAGCCTCTGCCTCCTTTTGAATCGGCACAAAAGATGCTGCCCAGGTTGATATTACGCTGTCCATTGGGGGTGGAGGAGAAGGGAAGTCGTGATCTTCGCAGTAGTTGTGAAGCACAGTGTAATACAGCCCGAGAAGTCTGTTTTGAATAGTCACATGAGAAGCCAGAATATGTGGAATCAATGTGAAGATGGCCTCAATGATCGGAGGCAGAGCTTCTCTGATGTGACTGTCGGCAACTTGGAACTCCTGCGGCCATAGTTCGTCAAATTCAGGAACCCAAGTTTGGTTGATGAATTACTTACCTCAGATGCGCAAGTCATCTCGAACTCAGCCTTTGATAGGGCAGCATCTTCCTTGGGCGTCTTGCCAGGCTTCTTTTGGAGCTTCTTGACCTTTTCCTGGGCCTTCTCATAGTCCAACCTCTTGTTCTCCCGCTGCTTGATAGTCTTGCGAAGGGGCTGAATGTACTCATGGGCCTCGGTAGCAGGGCCAATGACCTGCTTATCGATGGCCGTCACTTCTTCAGTCAGTTCATCCTTGAGGTCAGAGTATGCGCCGCTAAGCTTGAAGGTGCGATCGAGCTGCAGCTGTGGAGTCGTGACGCTGGGGCGGCCATGTCCCTCCGATGCACCAACAATTGGGTCGTACAAGCCCTCGTACTCCTTTACCATAGCCCACTGGCTAGTGGCCATAGTGACCCATGCTTCACGGAGAGTCTTGGTATTCTCGATAATCTAGCACCGTGAGACACATGAGTCAAGATTATATCATACACATGTAAAAGACCTCATCAGGTTGAGAGGGTTGTGGGAGGAGGGTACCTTGACTAGCAATTTGTCTGCATCTTCGTAGTCGTGTAAGACGGCCGCAATTTTGGCATTGTCTCCGGGGCCTTTGTTCATGAGTTTGCCGAACTGTCTCTGCATGGACTGCATATTGAGGTTGGGCAGCTCGCAGGCAGCAACTATTCCGATCTCGGGGACGAGTAATGGTGCAGCAGTGCTACACTTGGAGAGGCGCAAGTGGAGCGACGGGCGGGCGAATATTTACACTTTTCCACCACCTTAGACTGAGTGACGACGTAAAGCGACGAGTAATTGGCCGTGACTTATTGGCAGTGTTTGGCGAGGTTATGTCGCAATGCTGGTCAGGAAATGGAGGAGGGGTTGGGTTGTTGGGAGGAGCAAAGCAGGAGAGCGGCGGTGGGTAGAAGAGTAGTAACGGCTCAAGCTTGCCGACGAGCCGTGTTCTCGGGATGTTCCTGCCTACCTATGTGAGGTTGGTAGGACTCCTAGGTAGGTAGATACTCGAGTGAAGAGCATCGAATAAGGCTGTGCCTAGCTAGCTACCTAGTGTGCTTAGTTAAGGAAGCAGTTACGTGTGAAGGCGGGATGTGGAGGATGGTTACCTTTGGACTGGTGACTGGCTAGACCTGACGCTGGACGGGAGGGCGTAGAAGCGCAGAAAGTTACAAACGAATGCTTAGTACGGGGAAAGAATGGTTTTTTAGAACTTCAAGGAGGGGAACCGAGCAATTTGGGGGACGGGATTAATTACGACGCCAATCTTTTTTGGCACAAACGAGCAGCCCAGCCAACCGGGTCAGCATCTGGAAGTGCCCAGGATACGCTGGACGAAGCTCGGCCATTGTGGAGTGGACAGATATCATGCTGTTATTCGTGTCGATGAATTCTCTACCTTAGCTATGTGTCATTGCCGGGTACTCACTCTGTACGAATACAGCTCCCACTGCTACCGTAGCTCACCTCAAGCCTCAGGGTATTTAGGTATCTTTTAGACCAGTATCGTGTCACTGTCCGGGGACTGAAACAAGAAACAAGACTAAAGACATGGCAGGGCAGCCCCAAGCCGAATAGCATCGAGTCACTGCCATTCGGTTGGGGTTGGCTGAGATTCGTTGTGGCGTGCCGTGCCGCGATTGCCTTGGACGAGACCGGGAGATTCCCGTATTTCTGATCAACTGGATGAACCACCAGGCAGAGATGGTCTGGCCTTTGACCCGCGCAACACAAACCCATGATGAATCCATGGTGTGAACCAGCAGGCAACCAAGCCCCCCCAGGCGGTGAGACTTGAGCCCTTCAAAGTTGGTAGCTTGGTCGTGACCCTGTGGTGGCTAAAGTACAGCGAAGTACTAAAGCTATGAACGGCTGCCGGCACTGCTTCAGCCCACCGGGCTTCCACCATAAGGAAACAGCCAAGGCCTAGTATCAGTAACCCCACCCGCTTGGCGTTCAGACGAGACTTGACAGTACATGAGCAGCCCCGCCATGAAGCGTCAGCTACCTCAGCAAATGGTAGGGGCAAAGGTAGGTATCCGTCAGGCAAGGTACGAGTACTTTGCAGACGAGGAGGGGACATCGGCAGCCCATGATGAGGGGCAGAACACATGTGAATATTCGTGCCTTGACTTTCCCATGTTGGAGGATTGCAGGAGTCCGTCAGGTTGATTCCTCACACCAGAATCCAGAAAGCTGGTCACGACCTGGAAAAACGTATCACGCCGGTTCAAAACAGCCTGAGCTCTTCAGTTAATGTTTACGCGTGTTGAACGCGTCGCTAGATACCTTAGTAGGTAATTTATACATCAAATCCATACTGAGCCAGGAAGATCCCATTAAACCCTGAAAATTAGAAGGGAAGCCGCGGGCACCGTCTGAACCTACCACAAGTCCACAACCACCCACCGGGGTCCCTAACAGACGACATCACGTCAATTTTACCCAGGCCCTGTCTCTTCTCGACGGACGACTTCCATTTGAAATTGGTGTCTCTTTCGCACCTCCATCACGATGTCAACGCAGCGAGTGCAACACGCACTTCTGGTCTAGTAAAATATCTCTAAAACGCAGCCTCTTACTCGCTTCACATTACTTCAGCAGCGCAGGTACTTAGATGGAAGAGGGCAAAAAGAGCAAGGAGGGGATTGGCCGGACCATCTGCACCGGAAGTGCCAATCATGTGACTTGGCGTCTGACCTGGTCCTTTACACGCGCCAAACTTAGTCGCGTCTACCTTACCTTACCGGGCTTCACCTCACTACCTTCGACATTGGGCAAGCAAGGCATGCATATCGCTATCTAAACTTGCCATCAAAACGAGCAGCATGCGTCTCGTTGCCTTTGGCCCCGGCTATCGTCTCGATCACCATGCCTCTCGCCAGTCGTAACAACAACCAGAATAGCCAGATGGGCTCTGGCCTCCCGATTGCCGCTCCAGTGTTGGAACATTTATGCCTCTTTACCCACGATCTGAAACGGAAACAGAAAAGATGGCAGGACGGCCGCCTGAAATTTCATACGTTCAACAAGCGCATCATGGTCTACGATGAAAGAGGAAATTTCATCGGCGATATGCACTGGCGGGAAGACTTCGACTTTGGTGAAGGCGAAGAATTCAACTTGGAACGCGGAGCCGTCATTGTTCAAGTCGCCGAGTGTATCGGTAGCAAGGATCAAGACTTGACTGAGCTCCTCGACAAGAGAGCCAAGGAGGTTGAACAGCGACATGCTCGCTCTGCCGCAAACACAGCAAACCAGCCTCATCCAGCCACACGACCATCGGTCCAGCACCCCCAAGCCCAATATCGGCAACGATATTTATCTGACGTCTTCACTACTCCCCGCGGCCCACAGGGGAGGGCCGTGATCCCAACTACATCGCCATATGAAGATCGGGTGATGGCTCAGCAATCTTCGAGTCCCCAGGACGAGGCTCAAAGGCCCACCAAAAGGAGGAGGAGAGAGGTATCACCCCCCAGCAAGTCAGGCTACGCCCAAAATTTGTTCGGCGCAACTCTCAATCTATCGTCTTGGTCGGCGAGCGCCCCAGTGCGAAGTCAGCCCATGCCGACACCCAAAAGCGTTGCTCCCTCTGTGGAAGCACCACCTCGCCCAGTCATTCCAGGCAAAAGCGTCAACTCCTCTAGGCCGAAGCCTTCTGCTGTCGTTGATTTGACCGACGATGCCGGAGTGCCAGCGAGAAATGTCACAGCCTCGATAACATGCGAGTCAGAGGTTCCGGCCACAAGCAACACCAGTGCGCTAGCAAAAGAAGCCTCGCTAGGTCAAAGCCCCTTTAAGAGACCAAGCACGCATGTCCGCAGAGAGATATCAGTGGAAAGGAACGTGGAGATTATCGAGAAGCCTAGAGAGTTGCTGATCCCTAGCAGTCATCAATCTGAATGTCGCGTCGAAGCCCTGGAGCAAGCAGAACCAAGAAAAGACACTAGAAAGCCGCGAGACGGCATACAAAAAGCTGCTACTCGCGAAATAGATGATTGGCCTCATAATGGCGCCATGCCCGAATCTGCGCGACTTCGTGCTCCAGCAACGGCAAAGAGGAAGGCGCCAGGAATCCACAAGCATCTCGCGGAGAATGGAAGCACCTCATCAATACCAGCAGCGTCTGTGCCAGAACGGCCGTCGGTACCCAATGATGAGCCTACAGATCCAGAAGAACCAACGACCAAACTCCGCATTAAGACAAGGGAAAAGCGCGGTCTAATGGTGGTCGCGAAGAAGGCCACCACGAAGAGCAAAAGACGGCAACTGAGTTCACCCACAGCTGGGCCAAACCTGTCAACGTCAGACAGACAGGTTATAACGGATGTCACTCCTTGGGAACCTTGTCCTACAACAACGCCTGTTTTGCATGTCGAAAGTTCACCGGGGCATCCAACTTTTGGCAGCTACACAGAAGCCGCCCCGAAGGCCGATGTCAGGGCCGGTAGAGCGAAAAACCACAAACAACCGGATGAGATGGCCAAGGGTTTGGCTCAGCCTGAAGGCCCCGACGAGGAAGGTTGTCAATCATCCGAACACTCCTTGCAGCCAGCACGGACACTGAGGACACGGAAAGCTCGACGTAGCCCGGATCGGCAAGACGATGTGGAAGAGGTTCACATCAATCCAGGCCCGCGATTAGCATCTCTCGGTCGAAGGACTGTGAAAAGTAAGGAAATCATTGGCTCGTTCAACACAAGACCGCCTCGCATATCCCTCGAAACTTCAACCGCGGCTGCAGCGCCTAAGAGAGAGGCCCCAGCTACGACTGAAAGTCATTCTGAATCCAATCCCTTGTTTCCCAATACGTCGGATGGTTTTCCACAAGCAGAAGCCACAAGACCTACCAAAACGACTCGGTTAGAGAACCCCGCAACGAGGGGCCGGAAAGCGGCACAGAAGTCAGATGCTATGGGCACTGTTCCAGAGCCAGTCTTGCCGGCTAATCTGGATGCAGCTCTTATTAGGAACCTCGGCAGAGCTAGCAATAGATCAGAGGCGAGGACAGATGCTGAAATCGACATGGTGGCTAATGAGCCCAAGAAGAAACTTCCCGGATTTCAAAGGGCAAACGGAGGTCCATGGAGCAAAGAGGCTCACGATTTGATGGGATGTACAAGACCTGGGCGATGAGGCTAGCATCAGAATAGGATGAGGCGTTTCGACAAGCACACAGGTGGGCAAGTGAAATCACGGAGCTCGCTCGATCCAGACCTTTGAGACGCGGCTTTTATGTCGCATTTCTGAGAGACAAGTCTCAAGGATCCCGTACGCGCCGCACACTTGACCGACGAAAGTGAGGATATCTTCGGGACTCTGTCACTGCCAGCATTGTACTGTAGTATGAAGCTACGCAGGTACAGGACGGTCGAAAGTCGAGTAGACTTGGATTGATCCAGGGAACCGCAGCACTACATGAAATGGACTGAATGGGTCGCCGGTTCTGGGATCGAGCTCAACGTACTCCACGCAACGTAAGTCCTAAGTCGCAGTCGTTAACCCAAACCCCCTCCTCGGCGGTAATGGCAAAATAACGAGTTTGCATTAGATACTCCTAGGATGCGGGGAGTGGCCGGATCAGAGCCAAGAGATTCCTCCCAGTAGCTGGGATAAATTGCTGCGAGTACAGTCGTGTACTCGATCTAGGACGCTGTAGATTGGGCAGAACCCTTTCAATAACGAATGATAACTTCATCGCTCGTCAATGGGGACAAAATTTGCTCATCGCCCCAATGAAAACGTTCGTCTCTGCTGATGATTGACCTTGTGAGACTGAATCTTGCTCGTACACAGTGATCCGTCGTTGAATCTACTCAAGTGGTGTGAGGCACCTACCTCTACGTCCGTGCGGCATTGAAATGCGTGCTGCATAGAGATCGTTTAGGTTTTCAGATAAATAGTAGTAGTGAAGCTCATCCCAAATGACGGTCGATGTGAGTGTGTTCGAGATCACGTGGTGAACGGCAGGGCCTGCTATCACGACATGTTCCTGCCTCCCCCGTGCACGACACTATGAGCCCCAGCCGTAGAATGCCTGACCCGTGCAATTATATTCATCTACTAGGAAGAAAAATACAAAAGCTCGGCCCCTCTCACAGGTGGCTTACGAAAATCCGTAGATCTTACCAGCCTTAAGTGTAGCAATGCAGGGGTTTTTCACGAGACTCAAACTCGCGACCTGTGCAAGAGGGACAATTTACTCACGACTAATCCCGCTACTTCACAGGTCTCGGTGATATTTTGTAGCTCTTTTATCCATCAAAGAAGTATCCGGGGCGGTGTCTTCCAGGTCGACTTACATGTCTAGGGCTGATGGCCGAGCAAGCTCCCACCAACCCATCCACCCATCGTTGAGCCGTGACTAACATCAGGTGTTTGTTGACCTCTCAGGGATTCGAGCAAGCGGTTAAATCCTTTGCAAGTCCGAAACCACAGTTGCATTGAGGCTCAAGGCATCCAGGAAGATTCGCTGGATTCAAGGACAGTTGACAAACCGGCATATACAGGAATGACTAGGCAACGACTATAGTAAAGACCTTGTGCCACGGCTCTTTCGGGACGGAAAGTAAGCGCCATGTGCCTCAGAAACCTTTGGCGAGTTTTGTACCGGAAGTTGTTTGCTCGTTTCATGACTAGCAACAGTGACTTGCTGCGCAGCATCAGGTGCCAGACGAACCACTCTCTCTATAAGTTTAAAGATTAAGTTACGAAGGTGTGCAATGACTCCGGTTCAGCAGGCCTTCAACCAAAGCCTTTGGCAGTGTATGCGAGGGTAGCTTTACGACATTCGGAGAAAAATACCCACGGGACCAAGGCTGCACGTAATTGCTCCCACTGCGAGTGGATAGCATGGGGGCGAGCTGATAACTGAGTCTTATCATGTCATCAACTCGTCCGAGTACTCTTCAGTGACGGTAGATACACGGGAAGCAGGTCCAGACCAGTGAAGGAAGGTATAAAAAAATAGAGGTCCCCTTGCTAAGGTGCCTCGATCATCTCGACTTCACGAAACGGATAAACTTGTTTGGATGGCACGGTTGGGCAGTGTACGACGTGACAGACTGCGGACCAGAGCCGAATGGAGCGAAAGGATTCCCTTGAGCCCGAAGGACCAGACTAGCGTCACAACGGCATGCCCATAACACAGCAAAAGTACCGTGCTTGGCCCATTTGCAGATGACAGCCATTCTGTATTCGTATCGTGCTAACTGGTAACACACCCCGGTTGCCTTGGACCAATTAGGCGAAGCCAGCCACACACTTGTCAGCAACCGGGCAGATTCCGCTCTGCGTGCGGTGGCATTGGCAAACCAGAGAGGTGGAAAGCCTCGGAAGGTGCCTTGGAAGCTTAACCTAGAGAGGTTCCGGCACGGAACGGAAGGCAAAACAAAGCTTGTGTGCCTGTACGGAGTACGGATACCTTGGTCACCTTCGGTCTGGCGGTCCTAAGCCTCATGTACCCGGCTCAACTTGGCACTCTGGAGTCTTAGGTTGGTCCTTTCCAGCTAAGGAATTCGTGGTATGTGGGGTTTACCGCGCACCTCCCCGCTTACAAGATCACAACAGGATCCATTGATATGCTGCCAGCCTCTCCAAGTGAACAGAGTATGTTGTGCTGCGTCCGGGGAGCTTTGGCATCATCTATATTCGTACGTCTTCCTCCCGGGGTCATCGTGCATAAGACAGGTACGGGGGATGTATGGGATACCTTCAGGTACGTCGATGCTTGTGACAGGACCTTGTGAGAGAAGGTCAGTAAGACCTTAGACGGATTATGACTGATTGTCTGAAGCCTCAGGCGGCCGCCATTGGCTATGGGTTGACTCACCCAGACCACGTGACCTCAGATTGGACATGATTGACCAATGAGAGACGAGTACACTCGCCGAAAACCCAGCGCCCGGCTCACAAGTTATGGGGCCTGTGAGCCAATTAGATTCACATAAGTGGATCTCTTAGCCCCTATATGCATCTCTGATTGGCCTCATCCCCAGACATCATCCGCATTACGCTAAACCGCTTTCATCTCGCCGACGAGCTCAATCAAAACCACCGACTGCGCCTTGCTGGGGTACCGATGGACAGCCAGTTGTGGCCTCAGCAGTGAAATACCATCCATGACTCCGGCCTGGCTCACACGCTTCCCTTTCGATCTTCTCTTTCCAATTCTTCAATACTGAAAAGCCAAATACGTCGATTAGCAGACTCGAGTGAAGCTACTCCGAAGCTGGAGAACTTCTCTTGATCCGTCTCTTGTCCCGCAACTTTTCCCTCCAACAACACTGCATCAGCCAACTTAGGAGAAATCCAAGTTGCTGACAAACTGCCTGCCTTTTGCAAGCTTCGTCTCTAGAGACAATTTCCCATCTAACCTCATCATCCGGTCTACACCAAATTCATATCTGAAATCGCCTCGAAAGAGAGCTTTCTATCAAGGTGAGCTTTGATCCCCATACGACTTGGCGTCCCACCGCGATTCCCAAGGCAGCATGTAGTTCCTCAGTGGGGGGTCTGTGGATTTAGACACTTCACCAACACAATGTATCTTGTATCACTTTCACATAAAAGCAAATACCCTCCCCCATATCGTCCTACCTCAATATGACACACACAGAATTCTGGGCAGCTTGATGTAGGATATGAGGCCAGCCAAACAATTACTTACCCACTCTCATTAGCAAGCATTCAGCAGACCTGGGAAACAATCCGGTCTTAGTTCCTGCAGGGATCCGATCCCCCGTCACCATATCCTCCATATTCCGCCGCATACCTTCCGTAGCCAACACCATCAACGCAATGTCCGGCGTGATACGAAACCAGTCTACCGCTGCCTTCCAAGGCTTCTCCATCTCTCAGCCTTTCCTCGGCGCGTCTTTGCAGTTCTACCCTGAGATGGGTACCCAAGAACTCGACGACCTTGTCAACGCCTACCTCCCCGGCTCTGCCTCCATCCAGGAGAAGCGTGCCACCGTCTCTATGGACTTCTTTGCATTCTCCCAGCTCACTGGAGAGACCTTCAAGTACTATCCCGTTGCCAGCGAATCCAGCAGCTCCGCCATCTCCTCTGCCGGATCTAGCCCCGTACAGAACTCCAGCAGCAGCTCCAACTTCGTATCCCCTATCATTTCTGACTGGTCTTGGTCGCAGTCTACGCCCAGCTCAGCTTCTGCGTCTACTCCCACATCTGTCAGCCAGGAATCCATGTACTCCAAGTCTTCCAAGAGGGCCGCATCCTCTGCGACAAAGCCCCAGGCTAACGACTTCTCCCACCTCCCTGGGATGAAGATCATGACAAAGGATGGCCGCGATGTCACAAACTCTGCTTCTCGCGGTTGCAAAACCAAGGAGCAGCGTGATCATGCGCATCTGATGCGCATCATCAAGGCATGCGACGCCTGCAAGAAGAAGAAGGTCAGGTGTGACCCTAGCCACAAGAAACGCACCACCACACAGGCTCAGGGTGCCGCTGCCGCTCCAGCGCGGTCAGCGAAGAAGGCCAAGACGTCGAAGAGGGATTCGCCAGTGGCTACCGAAAGGTCACCACAACCAAGCACGTCATTATCAACACCAGCATTGTTTACAGATTCCTCATTCGCGGACCTTGACATGCTCAACATGGCAGATTCTTGGGAGTCCTTTGTCCAATTCGATGACGAGCCCGCCAACGTTGCTCCTTTCGAATACGACTTCTTCTTCGACCCCGCGGGACACCTTACTCCCGAGTCAAGCCAGTCTCCCATTACTCCCTCGATGGTATTCAGCCAGTCTCAGAACGGCTCCGATGGCCTCCAGAACGTGGTTGCTAGCAAGCCATTCCCCGACGAGCTCGATGTCCGGCCACCGGCGCTTCCTTACCTGGACTCTTCCCCGCGTATCAGCAACTACGTCGACTTCAACCTCTACTCACCCGAGCCAAGCTTCTTGGACGACGATGTTGCACTACTCAGTGACATTGGTACTACTACCAGGACGCAGAGCACACCATCTCAGCGCCGTAGCTCGCCTCAAGGCAGCCAGTCGTCAGTTCAGCAACAAGTACACCTCGGTCGCTCTCCAACGGCACCAGATGATTACTTGGCAGACGATAACGGGGCACCGGTAAGCGGAACTACACTGGGAGGAACCAGCGTCATGGTCTGTCGTCACCGGCACCGTCCATCGTCGGTAGCAGTACATACTGGAGTACCGACCGTTCCAATGGTGAGCATCCCTTACACGGCACAACGTGAACGTTTTCTGACATTTGAACAGACCGAGTCTGAGTCTCAATTGAGCCCATCGGAAGTCAATGCAACATCTCGCAGTGTACGATCCCAACGACTTGCGGACCCAGCCCTGCAGCCAAGCTCGCCACAATTACTACCACTGCCACATGCCACGTACCGCTCTACTGTCAATTCGTCGGGACTACATGCTACCTCACTTGGCGGCGTACTGCCAGGAGTAGTCGGCTGTTTGCCAATGTCCTCAGTCATTGCGTCCTCACGCTCCTCGGCCGCCGTCGAGGAGGCGTCTTATTACGCGCATATCACGAGGACAAGCAATGGTGCCGCTGGTCGTGGAGCAATTGATAGCGGAGTGTCCAGCAGCGTTTCTTCGGATGCTCATCTTCACCTTGCAACGCCAGGGTCATCAGAAATTCGTCACACCACCACACATAGCGTCAACCGTTCCTCTGCCGGCGTCTTTGTACTAGGCGGTGTACACGTTGTGATGGAGGCGGTTGCGGGTGGTAACTTGACATGCAAGCGCCGCTCTCTCGTCGACTGGCTGTTTAAGTCGCAGTGCCTGGTATCCGTAGCACTCTTTGCGACTGTACTCGGCTTGGTTGCGCAAGTACTCGAGGCACAGGCGTTCGCCAGCCGATTCATTCAACTCGCTGTTGGCCTAGCGATATACAAGGTCTGCCACTCTTACTCAAGTCTCTATGACTCGAGACCGGAACAGAGCCATCTTGGGACCGCCACGTCAAAGCCGCAGGGCTTGAGCGACGGCGCGAGGCTTCTCTCCTGTGTCAGCACGAGACTACGACGTACCTGTCGACAGAACCAATCTGCACAAACCCCGGTCAGCGGGGCGCGGATAAGGGTTCTGGGCCTCGCGCAAGGTCTCTCATGAGATCTTGTGTCGACCTGCGGCTTGGGCTAATGGCCCTGGCTTGTATGGATATGATAGTCGTCGTAGTGTTTTGTTGCTGTCTATTGGGAGCGTTGGTTTTCTGAGATACCCCTCTGTTTTTTGATGAGACGTGCATTCTTCAAGAATGGCATGCATGTCAGCTATATCATCGGGCAAGGTTGTGTTCTGTTGTACAGGCTAGAATCAGTACGCTGGGCTTTGGGCAGTTGTGCATGAACTGCCACATAGTCTAGTAAAGTTTGGTGGTAGCGTGGTGCGATATAATATAACTGCCTTGCTCACACTTCTTCGTGTTTACTTTCGCCCGACGTGCACTCGCTGTGTATAGGCACGACGAATCCGACCCTGTAGGAGGGCTTACCAAGGTCTTTCCTCTCAACACGAGGTATCTCTAGTACCCGAGGAGAGATTGGTTCAGGTGGTCAGTGCCACCGTTTGACATTAAGGTCACGTGACGCCGGGTGTTCCCACCTAATGCAAACTTCATCCATGACCATAGGGTAGATCGGTGCAATAACTGATTCAATCTTGGCTCCTTACAAAGCTAGGGGTTTACGTGATTAACAGTATCCTTTTTCCATAGTGAGTAGCAAGCCGGGCAAATAGGTTTATTTGCTTTCATTGTCTCGGACGACGTGTGCTGACTACAGCCAGACTGAGTCATCCTTGTTTGTCACTCTGCCACTTACTCAAGGTCCTGTTCAGGGTAATCTTTGAAAACGAGCACTCATTATCGAACATGGTTTCAGGCCAGGCGCTCTTTAAGGCCTTATTTCACGCTTAGCTTCAACGAGATAAGTTTTCTAGGACAGTCTTGCCCTAGAACTCTGCATCAGGGTCAGATTAGGAAAACGGACAGCTTCAGAACCCTTCCGACACCTGAAAACTCGGTTTTCTGCTGTCTTGAAACTTTCCCAGTCACGAGCCAAACAAAAGCCCTTAACAACCCGGATTACTATTCGAACAGGAAGACCAGCGACAAAGGAACCTCAGACGGAATTTCTTCACAGCGTAACCGAATCTACCTTGCTTCGGGTGTATGTCAACCTGATCTAGTAGGCTGGGAATTATCCAAAGAGAAGGGCAGTTTGGAACGTCTTACCTTGCTAGTATCGAGACACGCTATACCCTGCGTCTTCCTAGAACCTCTCGATCTCTTGCCCACTTGCCCAGACTACCGTAGTCCAGTCCGTTGCTACGGACCTGGTTTAAAACGGGCCGCACAGAGCAAATAGTCTTCGTTCTCACCTCTGCGGGAAGGCAACGATTGTCTACATTTCTGAAGCTATCAGGTGCTCTCTGCACCTTGACTAAGTGCCAGTCGTACTGGGTGGCTTGAATTTGTGAAGGCCCTGTGGTACCTAGTCAGGGTAGAAAGGCATGCACCGAGTTGGTTCCTTCCCAAGTAATTTGCCATGAACGCTCCTGCCTCTTCAGATGCACCTTTGGGTGGACCTGGGCCTGAGTCTGGGCCTGGAACCGGAACGCAGGACAAAGATAGAGGAAAGCGGGCTTCGACAAGCAAGTTCCTGCAAAACATATTTTGCCGCCTCAAAACCTCACTCACCCCCAACTTCAAATCACCATCCTCCTCTTCGTCACCCACCTCAGCCCCCTCGTCCCAGCAACCAGCAATATCCGCCGCCCAAACACGGCCGAACCCGGCAGGGCGGACATCAGTGGAAGAAGACCCAGAGATGGCTGGCGTTCTTACTCGACACAGTCAGTCGACTGAACCAGCGCTGCCTCTGTTTTCCTCCAGCAAGGCTCCCGTTCCCGTTTCGGGAGATGACAAGGAGAACCAGCCCAGTGCCCCTGCGGTCTCCGTACCAGCTGCGGTCTTGAGCCGTATGAGCCTTGACTCCATCGGTCGGCCGCGATCATCAGCCTCCATCCCTCAGACCACGCTCACGCCCCTCAGCGAGAGACCTATGCACCAGATGCTCATGGATCAGGCATTGGATATGGTAAGCAGCTATAATAACTAGCTTGTCCCCTCATTGCAATAGAACATCCTTTAATATCGTTTACAGGCTCGACTAGCACTGCGGACCAACGAGACGCCCGTTGGCTGTGTTCTTGTCCACAACGAATCGGTCATCGCCAGAGGCATGAATGCCACGAACGTGACTCGGAACGGTACCCGCCATGCTGAGTTCATGGCATTGTCTGCCCTGCTGTCCTACCGACCCAACAATAGTGAGGAGGCCGTCGAGGCTCAGCTTCGCCAACAGGCCAGCGAACGTTCCAAAGTAGATGTTCCTGACGATGAATCGGATCTGTTCCCGGATGACGACGAGTATGTCAGGAAAGGCCACCTCTACCCTTACGGCCAGAAGCTTCATCTCGATCCTCGGGTCGACCGCTCTATCGTCAGAGAGTGCACTCTTTACGTTACAGTCGAGCCCTGTGTCATGTGCGCCGGTCTGCTTAGACAACTTGGCATCAAAAAGGTCTACTTCGGCGCTGTCAACGACAAGTTTGGCGGAACTGGTGGCGTGTTCAGCATTCACAAAAACTCCACAGACACCCGCCAAGACCCCAACCCTGTCACAGTTCTTAGGCCGCTTCAGATCAATGCATCCAACGCCCCAAGACCGGCAAGCTCTGCGTCTGGAAAGAGTTCCTTCACCAGCAGTCGTCCCGCGAGCCAAGGTGGCGATGGCGGAAACGTCGAGCCAGGTTTCGAAGCAGAAGGCGGTTGGGGCCGCGACGAAGCCGTCGGTTTGCTGCGGAGATTCTACGTGCAGGAGAATGGAAGAGGTAAGTCGCTGATAAAATAGGATCATCGAGAAGCTGTAAGCTGACACCTTCTCTAGCACCAGTACCGCGCAAGAAGGAAGGCCGCGCAGCTAGGTTGGCAGCCATGGAACAAGCTGGAGGCGAAGGCGGAACACCTGTTCCCTCCGAGGCTTTCGACGTCGCTGACGGCGAAGACCAAGGTGCCGATGGCAAAGGTGCTTCAACCGTCTCCAATGGCAGTGAAGACAAGGACGAGGCTTGAGTATACCGCTGAGCATTTTCAGGGAGCCAACACGCATGACATACCATAAGAATTGATCATTAGATGGGGTTATCAACACTGATGGGACGATCCACCATTTATCTTAGATTGGTTCTATTGTACTCTCAACGAAAGGCAACTAATAATAGACGAAGCGGCATCATCATTCGGGTATCCTATCCAATTCCCCAATGTGGTACTTAAATGACTAGTATCCCACAAAACTCCTCGAAAACGACTTCCTTTACTCCGCTTATGATGAGGACCTGTCACCGTGGGGGGTGATTGTCTCTCCAATCTCCTTATCCTTGCCGGTGACAGAGCCGCCCTGCTCGGAGCTAATGGTCTTCTCCAAGGGTTGGGGCTCGGAAGCGGCAGTCTGATGTTCATCAGAACGCCAGAAATCCTTCTTTCCGCTGAACACGCGGCGGACCCATGGGGGCAGGATGCCGCCAGGAATGCGCCAGGTCCAAGGGTCCTTCTCGTTCTTGTTGTATGGAACAATGCGGCCGCCGGAGACCTTTTCGATGACCCAGACAAGGCCGTTGATGAGGATGTAACTGCATACACCACCGATGAGGCCATCGGCAATAGAGTAGGTGAAGGGCATGAGTGCGAGGGTGATGAAGGCGGGAACGGCATCACCCATGTACCTCCAGTTAATCTCGGTGACGGCGCGGACCATCATGGATCCCACGAGAACCAACACGCAGCCGGTGGCCCACGAGGGGATGGAAGCGAAGATGGGAGCGAAGAAGATGGAGATGAAGAAGCAGATACCGGTGACCATGGCAGTCAGACCGGTCTTGCCTCCCTCGGAAATACCGGCACCGGACTCGACGAAGGCGGTGACAGGGGGTGTACCGAAGAGGGCACCAACGGAGATGCTAAGGGCATCGACCATGTAAGCGACGGATGAGCCCTCGAAATCCTGAGTCTCCTCGTCGATGAGGTTGGCGAAGCGGGCCATGGAGTAGAGGGTACCGGTGCAGTCGAGGATGTCGACATACAAGAAGGTGATGAGGGCCAGGCCGAAAGCACCGCTGTATCCTCCAACATTCCACTCTTGGACGTTGAGAGTCCTCTGGATTGGGTGGAAGTCGACAACCTTCTTGAAGA